GGCAATTCAGCAGTTGTCTTCAGAAGCTTTAATGGATACGAAGTATGTGAACTTGCTACTGTCGGGGCTGGGACACGGACCAGATGCTCTGATCCAGTATGACAACACCTGAATTCTAATACTGCCCAGCCTGGGGCAAAGCATTCAATACAATCTGAAGTAGCAGCCTTTCATGCAACTGCTCTTGAAGTAGAAGGGCAGCAATATGGCAAGCAATCTTTTGCTTTTATAGCTAACAACCTGAGTTATATGATTGTCAGTTAATGAATAAAAGAGTGGTCTTCCTTGATTTTTTAATTAGCGTATTTCTCAGAAGCTTTTAAAATGAAACAGTTGGCTATTCAAAAGAATCCATCCATTTCTGAATAACCTACAAGCTTTCTCCCTTTCTAAAGTTTTAGAACAGTTTAAAATAACAGATATTTTAAATTATTATTTTATTTATACTGCTTTTGTTATATCTATGTAATTAGCAAAAAAATAAGTCTTTTTTTTCCCTCTGGAATATGGAGGGTAATAGTTATGGCTAAATGGCATGCTGCTACACTGAAGAGTGTATTTGGTTTTGACAATGTATAAGTCTGAGAGATAACTTTATAAATCACTTTATAAAGTGCTTTATAAAGAACTTTTTCTTCATACTTTGGCACTCATATCCTGCTCTGCCATGTAACAAGTGTGATAAAAGTGAAGACCGTGTTGGTTATTCAAATACTTACCACTTTATAGTTTGCAGATCTGAAAAGCAAGGCAATTTGTTTTATGTAATCCAACAGAGACTGATATCTGATGTACTTGATGTAGTGCAAGGTGGACAAGATACCCAAAAAGAATAATTTAATGAAAATGCTCAGCACTAATCCTCTGGAAAATTCCCCAGTTATTCACCTTTTGTGAATTGTGGATATTATCCAAATTTTCATAAGGTAAAAAAGTATGAATTTTATAACCAGCTTTGCAGGCTACACATGTACTCGATAGTACTTTCCCACAAAGTGCTCACATTAAATCCAGTGGGACTGTAGCTTAGTATTCAAGCAAACAGTGAAAAAGGATTTTATCTGTAAGTTATTCTGCAATGACATCTTCTTTTGTCAAAGAAGACAGTCTCCAGAGTAGTTCAGTAAACACTGAAAGTTAGGAAAGGTTTAAACATTGTCCTGGTGATAAAACCTTCAAATAAAACCAAACTTAAACACTGTGTAAAGTACTACCTGTGTGACTTGCATAATAACCTTTTTGTGAATCCATTGACTAAAGCAATTACATATTAAGCATTTTCACCCAAGCTTTTCAGTACATGAAACGACTGAGAGTTATTCTTATTTGCCTTTTACTTGGGTGATATATAGGCAAACAGAAGACCAAACCATTTTTCAGGCTGTACCTTCCTGTTATTGTGATTTCTTCATCAAAGGTACAGTGTTTCTCTGAGATACTTTGGACTTTCATTATTCTCAGTAACAAAATAAAATGAAAATAAGCAGAGAAACTGCCCTGGGTTCAGCAGTAGCAGTCATTTTTCTCCTTCTTAGTAGTTGGTGCAGTGCTGTGGTTTTGACTTTCAGCCTGGGAACAGCGCTGATAATATCAATGTTTTTAGTTACTGCTCAAATGTTTACTCTGACCAAGGATTTTCTGAGTCTCATGCTCTGCCAGGGAGGAGAGGAAGCTGTGAGGAAGCAGAGACAGGACACCTGACCCAAACTAGCCAAAGAGGTATTCCATACCACAGCACGTCATGCCCAGCATATAAACTGGGGGCAGTGACCCGGAATGGCTAGATCACTGCTCAATTGGGCTGCGTATCGATGGGTGGTATTGTATTCTCTTCCATTGTTATTTCCCTTATCATTATTATTATTACTGGTGGTAGCAATAGTGGTTTGTGTTATACCTTAGTTACTGGGCTGTTCTCATTTCCTGTGGGAGTGATATTCTTTCGATTCTCCTTCTCTGAGTGAGCAAGAGGACTGTGTGGCTCTTATTTACAGTCTGGGTTGAAACCACGACAGAAACCTTCAAAATACTTATCTAAACAAACTCAACAATCTTAAATTATTTTTGTATTACTAGCAAAAGTTGCGTGGGAATGGCAGATTAGAGTAGATGAATAATGTTCATCATGTTCGCATGTTGCACCAGAAAGTTTCACTAACTGAATAGACGACAGAGGGGATTTTGTACCATATATTCAGAGTTTCCGGGGTTTTTGTTGTTTGTTTTTTTTTTGTCTTAATAAAATATTATCTTGCTGATGTACTGCTAAATAGGCTATATTTGTATTCACACAGTAGATGCTGACAGACAGGATTTCTTGGATTTGCTATGAGTTTCATAAATGTGACCATTTATTTTTCAGTATTGTTTAGCTTGATAAAAGAGAAAAATATTACCGTGGTAAAAAAAAAAAAAAAAAAAAAAAAAGGACAGGAAAATGCACTTATCTGAATATTGATTTTTTTTTTTTTTTTTTTCATATGTAAATATATGGTGAAGCTTTTGGTATATGGTTAATGCTTCAGAGGAATTGATGCTAATTTGACAAACTTCCCTAGGCTCTGCAGCTTAGTTTGAATGCTTTCAAAGTTATAATGGTTTACACATTTGTCAGCTTTGTCATAGGCTCTTTTGCAGTAAAAATTCTACAGGTCCATGCAAGATATTCTTAACTTGTGGAATGTGATTACTACAATATATAGTCTATTAAAATATGGATACTGCCTTTTAAGAGAAGCGAGTGGGGCAGAGGACCCTGACTGAACAGGGAACTCGTGGAACTCATTAAAAAAAAAAAAGTTGTATGAGTTCAGACTTCACAGGAAGATTGAAGAGTTGTGGTTTGCATATGCAGGAAGTAGACACAAAAGGCCAAAACTCAACTGAACTCGATACTGGCCAGGGAACCTGTGTTGTGTCAGACATCAAATCAATTAAGACAGCCTATGGCTGCTTTTATTTTAGGTAAAATGAATTTGGACAATGCTTAGAGAAAACATGGCTTACTATAACACCTAGTGTTCTGGTTTGGACATTTTGTGTCACTCTTTTGTTTTCGCTGAACCCATGACAGTTACCCAACCTCACATAATCAGTTAAAACATCTCCAGATTTTAACGGAAGGAGCATACGAAGATGTTAGCTCATGGTGATATGATAAGCTCCCTTGCCATTCTGTTCACAAAGATGGATCCAAAGCACATCAGAATTACTTAATGCTTTACTGAACCATGTACTACTGGGAGACAAAACATCTTGCAAGGGATGATAGCCTGAAGGTCAATATAGACATACATCTCCACAGGAGTATCTGAAGACACAGAGTATTCTGGAGAATCCCCTAGCCTGAATCTAATTCTGCCTCTGCAAACTTCTTACTTTTTGAAATATTTACTTAAGATCTTTAGCAAAAAACATAACAACTGGTATTAAAGGTTTATCATTGGGCAGAGTTGGGCAGAGAAGAGATTCAGAGCGTCTCTGTGGGGAAGGACTTGGGGGTGTTGGCCGACGACAAAATGAACATGAGCTGGCAGTGTGCGCTCGCAGCCCAGAAAGCCAACCGTATCCTGGGCTACATCAAAAGGAGTGTGACCAGCAGGTCAAAGGAGTTGATCCTGCCCCTCTACTCTGCTCTCGTGAGACCCCACCAGGAGTATTGTGTGCAGTTCTGGGGTCCTCAACATAGAAAGGACGTGGAACTGTTGGAACAAGTCCAGAGGAGGGCCACGAGGATGAACAGGGAACCGGGGCACCTCCTGTATGAAGACAGGCTGAGAAAGTTGGGAATGTTCATCCTTGAGAAGAGAAGGCTGCATGGCGACCTCATAGCAGCCTTCCAGCGTCTGAAGGGTGACTACAAGGGTGCTGGGGAGGGATTTTTCTTCAGGGACTGCAGTGATAGAACAAAGGGTAATAGGTTCAAACTTTAACAGGGGAAGTTTAGGTTGGATATAAGGAAGAAGTTCTTTACTTGAGGGTGGCGAAGCACTGGAACAGGTTGCCCAAGGAAGCTGTGAATGTTCCATCCCTGGCAGTGTTCAAGGCCAGTTTGGATAGAGTCTTGAGTGACATGGTTTAGTGAGGGGTCTTCCTGTCCATGGCAGGGGGCTTGGAACTAGATGATCTTAAGGTCCTTTCCAACCCTAACTGTTTTACGATTCTGTGATACTATGAGCATCCATTTCCCAGCTATTCCTCCTCTCCCAGTACATGGGAAGCAAATACAGATTGCAAGACAGCAGAAAGAGCAGCGAGTCATGTTTACCCAGTAGGTACTTGTTTTTAGAAATAAAATCAGAATTGCATATTTTTTTGAGTGCCTACATAAGGCACATAGTTCATAATTCAGTCATCCCAGCATATTGTAATTTGGAATGACAACCTAGAGGGCATTAGTCAACTTGGGTGCTTTAGATCATTCCAGTTTGCTCCAGTTTGCTCCAGTAGGTAAAAACCATCCATAGGGATGAGGGAACATGTTCCAACTCCCTTGCTACTCATCTTGCTGCCCCTTACTGGAGTAAGGGCATGGGAACTTTAGTTTTCATTCAACCCTTTGTTCTCAATATCCTGTATGGGTCTGGAGTTTTATTTTTCCCTGAGGAAGATGAGGAGTCTTTCCTATCATTGCCAGCTAAAAGGGAATAGCTTTTAATTCATCAGCTAGTTTTTAGATGAGGTAGATTTGAAGTGGCTGTCCCCTTGTAACTTACCAGTTCTAACTTTTCCAGGTGACAAGATACAATCTCCTTTCCATAAACAGAAGTTCCTTACACTCTTTAAATTATTCTCTTCCTAAGAGAGTCTGTGGTATGGCAACATGGCCAAGAGATGTGGGGCTTTGGTACTAAATGTGAAGAAGGATGGAATGAAAGCATAGCAAGATCACAGAAATACTGACCAATGGCCTTCTGGGCAAAAGTAGTGCTTTTTTTTTTTCTCCTCAGATTTTTCTCAGGCAGCAGAGCTCATGTGGGGAATCGAAGCAGTAAATGGGCACCTACAAGGGCAGAGTCAGAAAGCGCTGATGAAGCCATGAGGGCAGGAGCAGGCAGGACTTGGCTCCTGGGTTTTTCAGAGCTATGCTGTAAAAAGGGTCATTGCTAGCACAGGAGAGAGGCCCCTTTCTGGCAACTACAGTGTTGCTTTGGTCCCTTCTCAACACATGTGATACCCTCAGAGCATGGGACATTGACAGAGAGGTGCAGTGCCCCCTTGCCAGGCAGCAGGACTCGGCAGGGAGCCTGGGAAGCTGAGATATGGTGCTTTCCAAAACCCAAGCAGCAGCATCCCTCACTTTGTCATACAAAAACCACAGGTTGGCAGGCAATGCTGGGGTAGCATGTTCCTCCTAACATACATGTTCCTCGAGGCAGGACCATCCTGTGCACCTCAGGAATGTTTCCTATACTCAGAGCTTGGCAAAAAGATGGAACACAGGCTCTGCTACACACCTGGGTGACTCGTTCTTCCCCTGCTTGAATTTCGTCAGTTGCCCATCCCTGAGAGCTCAGTTTTGCTCTTCTTCTGGGATGGTGGCCCGTCGCTGCCCTCTTCCCAGGTTGCTCTTTGCTTCCTGGTGTTCCGCGAAGAGCCAGGGAACCTTTCCATTCAACAGTATTGCTAGACAGGCGAAGCCATGATCAGCTTGAACCAATCAAAGCCAGGCAGTTTTACCTTTTCTCCCCAGAAAAGCTCCTCTGCTGCTCTCTCTCAGGAGCGATGGGAGGCACCTGCAATGGCAATGTGTAGGTTAGCAGGGGGCAAGGGCCTCCCTGCACAATTGCTACCCTGGCTCTAAAAGGCACATTCCTTGGATGGGTTTGCTCAGCTCAGCTGAGCCAGCTCTGGTGGGATCACCTCTCAAAGTGGGATGGCCAACCTGCATTAGCCTTGCTCTGCACTTTGGCAGAGCTGCAGGCTGGTGGATGACCGTGCTTGTCCTTGCAGCAGCAGCCCCACCTTCTGAGAGGGGAGGCTTTTGTTGTCACACTGCTTGTGCACTTCACTTACCTCTGCTGTTTCCAGCTCTGCTTGTGGTGCTGGTGTCTCCTCGTCTCCCTTGCTGGCCAACCCGGCCACCTGCTCTCCAAGGAGCTCCTCATGGTGGTCGATGAGGAACTCAACAAGCTTTGTCACCTGCACACAGCAAACCACTGGTTTCACTGAGGGGGCTGATGAGGGCTCAAACAGCCTTTCCCAGCCTGACCCACGCTTCTGTGCAGGCAGGTGCAGCTGTGGGGCTGCTCTTCCTGGCTGCCGCCCCGTGGCTTTGCTGATAGGAGGAGGCAGCCAGGACCCTCCGAGCAGCAAAGCTGGGCTGGGCTTGGAATGCTGTAGCCGGGTGGTGAACACAGCGTACCTTCCCTGTCTCCAGAGCCAGGACATCCAGGGGCACCTCCTGGGGTGGGCTCAGGAGGTTAGTTGCCAGGCAGATGGCCAGGTTTCCAGCCGTCATCTTGGTTGTGGCCACGTTCCTGCTGATGCTGCTAAGCAGCGACAGCAAGTGCCGGAGCAGGAGCAGGTTGGCCCCCGGTAACTTGCTGGCCATCCTGAGGGAACAGAAGCACAGTGTTAATGAAGCCGGTGTTGACAACACAGGTCTCCCAGGCTGATCTCACCCAAGGCCACTGCTTGCTCTACAGCAGAGGGACTGCCTTTGCTGAGATGCGGCCACCTCCTTCCCTCCCTGCCCTTCTGAAAAGGGCTCTTGTTGGAACCAGCCCCAATGCCTGGGGGAAGTGCTCCCTGGAGAAAAAAGCCTTTTGGTGCCTCTGTCCCCCCAAACATAAACCCCACAGCAACAGGAGGTGGCTTGCAGGAGCCATGGCTATTTCAGGCAGGCCACTGCTTTGCATTGGAGTCCCAGCCTGTGCCAGTCCTTGCTGGCTGCTGCCACACTCTTTCAGTGCTGCCAGCCTCTCCTGCCTGCAGGTCTTCTCCATAGCATTCATCCACTCCTCAAACAGCTGGACACTGAGGAGCTTGGAGGGGATATTCCGAAGGAGGTCCTGTAGTGCCAAGGGCTCCATGTGAGGCTTTGGCCACTGTCCCCAGGAGCATTTGCAGCATCCCCAGCCCTCTGGCTCATGAGCAGGTGGCTGGGTTTCTGCTTGTGCTCCCGCAGGTGCCCATCATCACCAAGAGAGCCGGGAGCTGCAGGGCTCTGGGTCAGCAGGGCTCACCTTCAAGAGGACAGCCAGCAGCAGCACAGGCTGGTTTGCCAGCTGCACCGGCACCCTGCTGTCCAGGGCGTCCCTGACCTCACGGCAGGCGCGCTGGCTGACTGCCAGCCAGAAGATCCCCTCTGTGGATGAGCCATGCTCCTTGAGCAGAGCCAGCAGGTCCTGAGGGCACAGAGGAGGAGAGTTGCTGAGCTGGAGACAGGTCCTGAGGTAGGTGCTGGGGACAGCCTCTTTATGGAGGAGCTGGCAGGATGGGATAGGATGGGATGGGATGGGATGGGATGGGATGGGATGGGATGGGATGGGATGGGATGGGATGGGATGGGATGGGATGAGATGAGATGAGATGAGATGTGATGGGGACCCCCCAGCCAGGCTGGCTTACCTGGATGGGCTGAGGCAGCATGCCATCCTGGCTGCACAGATCTGCCAGGGGCTGGCCAAACAGAGCTCCCACACGAGCAGGGCCCAATGGCCCCCGTGCCCCTACTGCAGCCAAGGTGCCTGGCCATGCAAATGGCCAGGGCAGCTTCCTCTTGCTCCTGCTCGTCCCGCCTGCTTCCAAAGGAAACAGAGCAAAGAGCCATGGAGGAGAAGCACCAGGACAGCATTCCCAGACTCCCTCAGTGTTGCCCCCTCACCACCGAGGGCACGAGAGAGGCAGCATCATTTGGGAGCGAGGGGCCCCAGGGCTCAGCTCTCTCCTGCCACAGAGTGATGGGGATGGACGTGTCCTGCAGGAAGGGCAGCGGCAGCTCCATCGCAGCCCACGTGCCCGCCTGCAAGAGCAGGAGAGAAGAGCCATCCTGCCCCTGTCTTCTCCACACTCACCATCCACATGGCCATGTCTGCCTTCACTGGCGGAGGGGCCAGGAAGTGGCAGCTGCCTGGGACCAGCCTGCAAGAAATAGGCTGCGCTCACCAAGGAGCCCCACAGCAGAAAGGGCCCCTGGAGAGCTGCATCAGCCTCTGGCTGTGTGTGAGAGGTTGGGATGAGTGAGATTGCTCCTCAAGTGACCCTGACCTTGGCCTGGCGCTGGAGCAGCTTCTCCAGGCTGCCGGCATCCAGTGTCGTCCCCTGGGCAAGGGGAAAGAGCAGAAGGTGAGGAGTGATGATGCAGCTGATGCTGGGCTGGAGGAGCCCCTGGGGACAGAGCAGAGGCAGGAGGGACACTCACAGCATGGCGGCCACTCAGCTCCTTCAGCAGCAGCCTTATCCGTGGCAGCTGGGTCACCCGGGCTATCTGAACTCCTTCGGGTGGTCTGTGCATGGGGAGGGGGGAGAGAAAGAGCTGTGTGAGACCCAAGCCAGCTCTTCCCTCTGCTGCCAGCCTGGGGAGTGCTTCCACACTGCCCGGAACAGCCAGGACTGCCTGGCAGTGGAGCGGGAGCAGCAGCAGTGCCGAGGATGGGGCTGGGCAGGTGTTGTCTGGACACAGCTGGATGAAGCAGCTCTGCCAGCTGTGCCTGCTCAGCAGTGGTGACACCTCTGCCTGCAGCTGTGGGGGCACCTCTGCCTGCAGCTGTGAGCAAACCTCTGCCCAGCTCAAACAAGGTGTTTCAGCATCCATGCCAGACATGGAGCATCCCCCCCACGGTGGGTGCTCTGGCTGCCCAGGCTGTCCATGCTGCAGTGCCCGAGAGGGCTTACCCAAGGAGGGCGCTGACCCAGATCTCCTTCACTGCCCGGGAGCTGCCAAAAGAGAGGAGAAACAGCCTGAGCGCCTGCTGTGCCCCAGCAGATGATGCCCAGTGGGACAGAACAGAGGAGCTGCCCACCCCTCTGGTGCATCCAGCACCAGGGTGCCGGGGTCCTGGGGCTGCTTGTTGGCTGTCCCTGCTCTGGTGCCCTGGTGCCAGGGCCAGGGCTTGGGAGGAGTTCCAAGCTGCTCTTCTGCTGCACCTGCTTGACTCCCATTGACACCGTTTTATTTCAGTTTCTTTTTCTGGAATTCTGTCATGGGGCGCACACGCTGCTTTCTCCACGAGACCTCTGTTGGGAAGCACGGGGTATATGGCAAGAAGGTCTCCTGAGATTATTATGATTATGTCTCTTTCCATGCTGTTTTTCATAGAATCGTAAGATAGGGTTAGAAAGGACCCTTTTTCTTCTTGAGTACTCGAGATAGAAATGATTGCTGTCTCTGTCCTGTTTCTGCCTGAGATTTTACCTTTCTTACTTTTCTATGGACTTTCTAACAACCTCTTCCTCCACACAATTAACAGTCTTCTAGTGTCTGAAGACAGCCCAAAAGGATGCCTACTGTAGGCCCCTTCAAGGGGGACCATTGAAGGGACTATTCATTCCATCAGCAGATGGAAGCTGGGGGAATTTACAAAGGAGCAGGGGGAATTTACAAAGGAGCAGCAAGGAGATAAGCTTACAGTGATAATCAGAAGTCAAATATGTTAAATTCTCACATCCAGGCAGTGAATTCTTCTGAGAAGATTAGATTCACCAGCTAGACCTAAATGTGAAACCTTGTAAATTTGTGTATATACAGTTTATTTCTGTTTATTGAGAGGTATGACACCAGCATATAGGTTCATAACAGGAGACAAACTCTGTGGCATTTCTGTAACTATTTAAAAGTTTGATTTTCTCACTTTTAGGCTAGGTACATACCCTTTGCAAAACCAGTGCCAAAATGAAGGCAATGGATCTGTTGGAACTTGAATTCATTTAGCAATATATTCAGCTATCTGGGTTTCGGTGCTATCTGCATCATTGGGTATTACACTTTTAACTGATAGAGCTTCATATCAGAGAGAAGTCACTGACGAAAGGGTACTGCAGATGCATAAGTTCTGTTAGAGTAGTCAATACTGCCTGAATGCAAAGATAAAGCAGATCTCTGTCCAGCAACTTGAGCTGGAAGTGATTAAAGAACATGACACCCCTTTCCTCCAGTTCACAGCGGTGAAGGCAGGATTGTGCTCATGCAGTTTCTGAGTAAAAAAGGCACGGTATAGAAACAATTTTTTTTTTTTTTTTTTTGTCAAGGATAAACTGAAGCACTTAGCTATTTGTCTTCATAAAAAAGAAAGAAAGTCCCTGAGAGAAAGAAACTATATTGGCTCCTTTCCAGCTATACTTCTGTGATGAGGGTGGCTATATTGTGGTCACTGAAGAGCTTAAAACTGGGATTTTAAAAACCCAGACACAATTATTGGATCAGGAGTTCAGATTGGCCTGTGCCTAAAATGATGCTCAACATCAGCTAGTTGATTTATGTGAGCACCTTTTACAATGAAAATTCATCCTTTTTGTACGGTGAAACCATGTCCAAATTATAAAGTTGGTAGTCCTTTATAAGCATTTTCCACATTTAGCTATAAACGGTTTTCCAGGTGAAAAGAGTAATTTTGTTCTACTGGCTGGACCAGAAACAAACAAACAAAAAGATGATCTTACACATATTTGAAAATAGAACATTGCGATTTGTAGCTGGTGTTTGTATATTGTAATACTGTTCAAAACTAGACTGAGCACCCTAAGGCAAGACAAGAAAGCAATTTATTTAGCTGACATAGTCTCTAAAAGGCCAAGGAAATTTTACATTTTTTTGTGAAGTACTGATACCAGCCTAAATTAAAAATACATTTGAGAAAAGAAGGCCTTATCTAGAGTCTTCTTAAATTATTTTGCATGGGCAAAATGAGCCTTAAGTATCTGTTTAAAACAAGGAAACAAAATATGACCTATCAGCATTCAGTGAATATTTTGTCCTTTTCCAGGAGGGATGGGTATAAATATCCATTATTCTGTTGCTGAGGTTTTGCCTTGGGCTTTGTGTTTTGTTTTTTTTTTTTTTGTTTTCGTTTGTTTTTTTTTTTCAATTGAGGTTAGTCTCCATTGATTCTCAAAAATGGTAAGGATTCGTAGTAGATCTTCTAATGATTTTGTAAATGAATCATAGTAAAATTTTATATACATTTTTATAAAAGTTCAGAGCATTGGAATATTTGTTACATTTTTCAGGAGTGTCAAATATTCTATCTGCTGAAGCCTTCTCCATTTTCTTCTAAAGAAAAAGTAAGTAACCTAAATAAAGACAAATCCATAATCAAAATTTCTGCTGTGCACTCAACTACCGTTTGAATAACATACATCTGAAAGACAGGAATGCACTTTGAGAAATGATCTAATCCAAACCGAGCTATTAATTCTAAATCCTTACAGTCACAGTCAGAGACATTTGACTAATCTGTCCCTTTAAAATGTCTTGTAAAGAAGACTGAGATTGGCTTTCCCAGTACTTCAGTACCCTTTCCATCACAGTTTTCTCCTTCAGTTTTCCATAAGCCTTCATGGCTATTTGTTACCAGAACATAGGTGTTGTCAGCCTCTTCTCTGAAAGAGTATGACCGAACTCCTCATGCTCTAATATCTGATTTAAAACAGTATGAGCATGGGAATGAGATTTTCAGCCAGAATAATGGAGTTCATACCCAGACAGCCTCATGAGGAATTCACCTGCCTGAGCATGTCTGTTTAGCATCATTATTGATGCCCTAATAATTTCTGACACATCTGCAGGTGCTTGAAAGATAAACCACAGAATTTAGGAAAGACCTGTGGCTTTCTTGGTGGCAGCTGGAGACTGGGCAGTGTTTAATAAGGCAGAGAAAATGCAATAGAAATTAGGTTTTAGAGAACTAAGTCTTGCCTACAATATCTAAAATGTATCTACTTACAAGACTGGGAATCTAAATTCTGTCTAGAGTGGTCTCTACTTCCTCATGAGACTAGACTACATTGACTGTACTGGTGATCTCCAGTAATTATGGTAGAGATCTAGTTGCCTAGCTCACATGTAGATATGTGTATTGACTTTATTAAATTCAGGTGAAACAAATCCCACCCCATTTACCCTAATCACAGAGCCTTAGGTACATTACAGTGAGCATATGCAAGTCACCTGGGTTTTGACATACTGTCTGAGATTGCACTTCAGTGTAAATCCCAAAGCGCAGAATAGGATTCTCAAGCAAAGGAGTTTATTTTTCATGTTACCAGAGGCCTCACTGCTATATGAATGCCTTAAGGAAGATAAAGCTAGTTATAGCACACGTATTAGCAGCAATCAAAAATTATGATAGGTAACACCTCTAGTTATTCAGCTAGATCAAAGAAAGCCAATATTCAAAACCTGCTCTGCTTTGAAAGATTGTGAACATGGATGTAGGTCTTCTAAGTAAAGTACCTAAAAATTTTCAATGGGAAGTGCAACTATTCCAATCTGAAAAACAACAAAGTGCTTGGTTTTTACATGCCTTCAGATGTAAGAGATGTGAGTTTAAATGATTACTACAAATCACTTGAAATAAAAATATCACAGTTGAAAATAATATTCTCAAGGCCAAGCCTGCTGGTCCAACTGAATAGCTGGTATTAAAAAAACAAAATTGAACTAAGGACAATAGCAGGTTACTTATTCTTTAATATGATGACTGCTACATGACTGTTCATAATGGCCGATAGTACAGCAATTCATAGAATCATCGAATCATCGA